CTCACTTTGTATGTAGTTGTTGTTTGTGTGTTGTTAATAAAGCTTTTTCTTTGCATAAACATGTGGCAAATGTTCATTTTCTCTATAAATTCATTGATGTCCTGGTTGGTATCCTAATAATAGTGTAGTAGCCTGCATAGGATAACCATGAAATGAATATACAGCATAATATGAATATATAAATATATATAAATAAAATGAGGCGGGTAACCAATAGCGACAGATCTGCCAACCAATCACGAGTGATTGAAAGTTGTGGTTTCATCCAATCATGAACAAGGAAACTCAAGTCTGGTCTGCCCACGTGTGGTTTTGCTGCCAATCACGAGTGATTTCATTTGTTAGTAAGTTGTGGTTTCATCCAATGAGGAGTAAGGGATATTCAAGCCCACTCGGCTTGGCCACCCGCGGCTTCGCTGCATTTATATGTTAATTCGGGCCATTCTCGCCTCCCGCCAGCTCTCCACCCTACGTCATGGTTCGATTCCGACAATTTGTGGCACAGACAAACGCGACGTTGCGCGGTTTGCAAATTTGTCGGAAATTAGGGAGATTTCGGGGCGTTTACGGGGACGGAAATCTCACTTTTCATGCAGTGGCCTGTTGTGACCCTTTTTCCCTTGCAAGGAAATAAACGGAGAAAAGACACACTTGACTCAGAGCCTTTGATTCTTACTTAACGATTGTCTGTGCAAAATCTTCCACCACAATTTGGTGTCAGAAGTGGGATCGTTTGAAGCTCCGTCGGGACTCCGAGGACGTCCGGGAAGGGACCCCTTCAGGATCCACCAAACGTGATTCTGCCCTATACCTCATCACACTCAGAGAGAGGGGACCGGCGACCAAAAGAGACCTGATTGGCTTCAACACGATCCGATGAGGAAGATTTTCACACAAATCGGGTAAGAAGTTGATATTCTGATTTTCAAACGGGGCTTCCTGAATTATAACGGGTGATAACAGATAACAAAGACGGGTATTTAGTACTTTGGGATTTTTTTTTAAAATTATTTTTTCTCTCTCTTCTTAGAAAATCCAAATTTCGGTTATTTGATTGGGCTTCTAATGATGATAACTTGTCTTTTTATCCGGTTATTTGAAAAATGTGTATAAAATTATAAGAGTAATTGTACAGTATTTCCGGTTCATCAGCATCCAACTTTTTACTGAGGAAGACAGGGAGCAATGTGCGCATTTACGATTGTATTCTGACTAACTATCTGAAAATTGCATAATTGTGACCCTTGACCAAAAGGGGAAAGACAGGGGCAAAGGCATTGCATAATTGTGACCCTTGACCAAAAAGGGGAAGACAGGGAGCAATTTGCGTATTACGATTGTATTCAGACTAACACTCTGAAAACGCATAATTGTGACCCTTGACCAAAGGGGAAGACAGGGGCAATTGACAATTGTGACCCTTGACCGAAGGGGAAGATAGGAGGGATTTTGAGAGTTCACTGAAGTCGCAAAATCTCAGCCCTTGACCTAACAGGAAGACAGGAACAATATCGGGGTTTTCGGACAGAAGTCTGAAAACAGATATTTGCGCCCTTGACCTATATTTATTAACCAATAGTTCTGGTTGGGTTTTAACTTGTATTTTTCCTACGTAAAAGAAAATCAAGACTTATAGTGACGACTATATTTTAAGTAATAAAAGTATACTTCACCACGCCTGAAAGATGGGTGGTGTACACGGTAAAGGTAAAAAGGAAATGGGTTCTCCGGAGGGACCCATTGTGGATCTGATGAGAAGGAAATATGGAGATCAATCTCTAGAGTTTTTGCCCGAGTGGTCAAAAGATTTTGGGTTCCCTGCAAATGGTTCTTTCAGTAGAATAAAACTGAACATGTTACGTACAGGCTTAGAGGGAAAAGAGAAGGGTATAAAATCTCAGAGGGTGATAAAAGGCAAAGACTTGGAGGACATTGAGAAACAAAGTAAATGGTTAAAATGGTGGGAGGATGAATGTGAATGTAGAGAAAGGAAACAAATGGCTAAAGAATTGACATGCGCAAAAACCACATTGGTTGAAAAACCAGATCCAAATGTTATTGAACAAAATGACCGATGTGCTTCTTCTCCCGTGTATCCGAGTCTCACAGGGGCTGGGGGCCCTCTCCTCAACACATGCCCACCACCGTACCCTGCTTCATCTGCGAACCAGCAACCTCCGTCTGCAGGAGCACATATCAAAGTTCACTACACCCGGCAGAGGGAGGAAAAGGAAGCGGCAGTGAAAGCAGCACAGGAACGACTCCTTGGCAAAGAGGAGGAAAAGAGACAGGCCGCTCTCCTCACTCGCTCTCGCTCTCCAGGAGCAACCGGAGGGGACACTTCTGCCATCAACAAACTGATTGCAGAGCAACCATCTACATCAGATGTTGTTTCCCCCTCTTTCGACCCAGAGGGAGTTCCCCCGGATGCAAAATCTGTGCTCCAAACCCCAATGATTCAAGTACCAGGACACTCAGGTCCCATACTTGTTTTCCGGCCTTGGAC